AAGTTTTTCAAAGTAATTCTCATTACTTAAAACAAAAGAAGGCAGTGCAGGCGAAGGAAACTTAGGAAAACGAAAAAAGCGAAGTGTCAACTGCTTTTTCCGGTTTGCAATCGGATGCTTATTGTTGTGGAAGGGTTATTGAAGAATCAAGCAGACAAAGAGATGAATATTTTATCCTTGGCATACTTTCATTTCTCTTAAATTGTTTCACTAAATATTTAGTAACACTGTCTCGGAAAGTTAGGAAATCAACCTTGGTTCAGTCTAAGGAAATAGCTTACCATTGGCATTTATTTCAAAAACTCGTACTTCATTCCAGTGCTTTGGAAGTTTGAATAAACCAAACCCGAATTCGAACACGTGGGACTGGACCCATGATATGTTACCATCTGTGAAAAATCTTTAATGAAAAAGTTGTAAAAGATTTCTTTTAAATTTAAACGGGAAGACAAGTGGCTTCCAAGCAGAATGGCAATACTAATGAAGGAAATGTAAAATAACGGCTAACTTCTAGCGGCTTATTAAAAATTGAAAATAATCGCAGTTATAGCTTAACCTATTAAGTTGTAATTGATATGGAGTGCTGCTGTGTTGTTAGCTGTGCAGAAAATCGTATATTTCTTACTGGTCGCTAATTTTTAGTATTTTGCTATTACAAATCCATGTGATAGATCGAAACCGCCCTCTCAAGTTGACAGGACCAAAGTTCTTAGTTTTTACAACAGTACAAAAAATTTTGCACCCAATATACTCCTTCATATCTTATTGGTAATTGGTCATTCTGTTATGTTATAAAAGAAATATTCTGAGCTCCAAAAGAATCGCTATTTTGCATAGCAAATTAAGCCTATTGGATTTGCAGCAATAGTAAAAGATGAGACAAAATAACTGAAAGGAAACACCAAAAAAAATCTTCGGCCAGATTTGAAATATTCTGTTTAAGAATGTTTATAAAGCAGGATGTTCAAAACAGAAAGCTAAAGCAAGGTTCTATATACAGTGACTTTAAAAACGGTTTTGAAAAGTTGCAGCACTAAGTGTTAAACAACGTCACCACACTTGCGCTAGCACCGTAAATACTCATTAGCTGTCTTCATTAGCTGTCTCAATTTTGTCAGCAAACTCTCCGGCCAACCTACGCTTGTAA